AGGGAGGGAGTAAGTCATTTGATCTTAAGTGCATGAGATTTATTTTTTCACTCCTCTACTCCCCAAGCAGGTAGGCCTTGCAGTCTTTGAAGTATCTCTATCTATGGAAATAAATAAAATGATGATATAGTCAGAGAGAGACCTTACTGTACAAAAGGCTCTCTATGAGGGGGGTTCTGGGCTTCAAGTGCTTGAACCTTCCACAGTGTTGCAACCTTTCTGGTGACTTCTCTTTGCTATTTTGGTCAAAAATTGCAGGAAAAAAGCACTGGGGATCTGGAGTTCTTGAGCTTCACCTGTGAGTGGGGGAACATGCACAGGGAAAACATCCACTTGCAATACAAGTTTCAGATGAATCTTCAAGAAATATACTTCCATGAGTGAAAACCCATATGGAAATATCCACTCAGCTATTTGTTGGTGTATTCTTCTCCTCCCCCCATCCTTGCTCTAGATTCAGATGCCTCCTGCGGCGAATCTGCTTTAACTCCAAATCAACTAGCATCCAGATCATAGGGAGCTGTAGGGAGCTGGGTTTTGCAGTAGGCAGTGCCCTAAGTCTTGGTCTAGACCTGAGTTTAGGTCTGGCAATGTATTCCACAAGGCTTATCTTCAACTGCCTTTGCCATGCCAGGGCAATCATAATTGTTTTGTGCCGTTCCCTCTTCCCGCTCCTTGCAAGAGTTCTTATAGAAGCAATACGAGAAAGGCATTCGTTGAGCAGCTGACCAAGGGAGGAAGAGTGCAACTGACATGGATGTCAGGGACAGACTGTGCTTGGTGCAAGTGCAATTTCTGTTCAGTTTTCAAGGAGGAGGACTCACTTTGGAATGCCCTGCGCTTAGAAGTTAGGTTCTAGCACATTGTCTTTCTCCTGTGTGGCCCCCAGTGTGAGATAGCTTAAGGGCATCCGTTAGTGTAAGAGGGTCTTCTGCAAAAGAGGTTTCGTGTGCAAATTTAATGTTTGATACCAAGATCTTACCTTGTTCATGTAGTACACACCATTGTGGCTTCAACACCTGAATATGTTACTGGCTTATGATCACAGAATGGCCAGGATGTATTCAGAGCTCCTGCACGTAAGACACATGCTCTCCTAAGGAGAACAGAGACAACGCCCAGAGACTGGGTGAGGCTCTAAGCCAAGCAGAGAGGTATCTGTTGCTGTTTATCTGAAGGGAGTATTATTGCCTTGCAGATAGTGGCTGAGACCTGCTGCTACCTGAGAGAATTGAGCTGGGATTGTCACTGAAATGGTCCTAGGCAGTCTAACTTTTCTACAATCCCAATTGAAGAAAGAAAAAAAGCCTACATATAATTTATGCGGAATATAACTGGCATAGTATAGGTTTACACAAGTAAATGCTCTTTAGCAGTGCTAGGACAGAGGACAAGATTCATAAGGGTGGTAAGAAGAAGCTCCATGCTTCAGATGAGCTTTTACAGCATCCAGTATTGATTGGCAGCAGAAGTACCTTGCTAGTTAACTGTTCCAGAGCAATTTTTGTGAATGGATACACGTGATTTAGAAAAGAATTCTGCCTGTTTAGTTACAGGATTACTTGCAGCAACCCTTAACGCCTACTTGAAGAAACTTCATCATCAAATCTTTAAGGGAAGGCATTCCACTTAAAGGTGTAAAAGCTAGCTTTGCAAAAAACTAAGATTTTATTTTCCAGCTCCAAACCTCAGGACTTTGTGGTAATGGTCCTGACCTTCAACAAAATAGGTATTTCAAACTCCACTGAGTTGTCTTTAGTGAATTTGAGAAGCCCTTGTAACAGATCCCCAGGTAACCCGTTTTGTTCATGCAAACGGTAGCTATGAAATTTGTAATGGCAGGTATAACAGAGCTTGCTGCCTCTGTATAAGTTTAGAACAATCCTGTTTATGCGCTATAGCCATAAAGGCTACCAAAGAGGATGGCTCAGACTTTTATCCAACCTGCACCGCTTCTCACTATTCTTTGAAAGTAGCTGGGTAAGAAGTTTGTTCCAGAGCCAACGTAGCTGGAAGCTCAGAGCCACTGTGGTATCGTCTGCGTTTCTAGTTCACAGAAGAAACAAGGCTCTGGTTGAAGATTTACCTCAATTGAAGCAAGATTATGTACTGAAGCTAGCTTTCTAAGTAGCACGGGAATTGCCGTCGAACTGCTGAGACTTGAGCATAAGGTCTTTGCAAGCCACTGGTTGCCAGCACTTTATCCAGATGTTCTAATATAGTCATCTTCTGTTGCCGCAGGCTTGGCTAGCACTTACTGGGAGCCTCTCGAGCCCATTTTGTAGGCCAGGAACACTTTGAGTACTGAACCAAGAGCCTGAGTCAGGTTCTCTGAACATGGCACGAAACAGAGCTTGTCTGTGGGCGAGATGGAGCCGTGCTGTTGGATGCAGGCTTCTATTCCTGGCCTTGTACAAACACGGAATAGAAAGAAGTGTAACCCATTAAGATCAAGACTGAAGAAAAGTGCAGAGAAGGAATTTTGAGGTAGTTTTCTGGATTTTTCCTTCCTCAACTTAGCTTAAGGCTCCAGCATGTAGAGCACTAGAGTAACCGCTGGTTTTTATGCAAAGAAATCTGTATTATAGATTACAGAGAATCTCTTTATACAGAGAAATTAATGAAGCCTTGTGCAATGATACAGAGCTTAAAAGGCATAAGGTTATCGAATACAGCCAAAAAGAGTGGGAGGTTGTAGTGAAAACAAATCCAGCTAGAAAATCAATAGATAATAAAATACAAATAATCAAATATAATTACCCTGACCTCCATTAGGATGCCTTTGTTTGCAGTGCAATCATAGTTGGACATAACCAAAAGCAGTAAGCTTGTCCTCCTGTGAAGGTGAGAGGAACTGTAAAGAAGGCGACACAGTTAGGCTATGCGGGAAAGGTGAGGTGTGAGCATACCCCTGAGGTGTACTAAAAGTTTTCAGCTCAAGAGATTTTTCTCCTTTGAGCATGGACTGATAATGCTGATATAATATCTGTACAAAGAACTTGGTTAAGGCATCTGTGTCTGGTAATGCCAAGTAGTTAAAGCTGTCTAGGTCTCAGATGGCTTTCAAATGTCTATCGGAAAGCCTATTTAGAACATAGGAGGGAGATCAGCACTGCTTATATTTTCTATGTTTAGTTGGTAGCTAATAAATCAGTACATTATACATGTTTGAAATATAAGGATCTTCTGTGTAAATAAACCCCAGTTCCAGCTGGACAGTTGAATCCTTGCTGAGATCCGGTTTAGAGTTTCATAGTGATTATATGGGTGTTAAACACAGTGCTCATGGATATCTCTCTCATGCCTCTCAGTATTTCCTGTTGTGACTTTCTGGTGTCTGTCTGCAGAGCTTTTGCTTTGTGGTACCTAAAAGGATATGATTAATTCTGATTTCCAAGAAATTCTGGAAAATAATGTTGGGCGAGTTAGAGTATGTGGGGCTAGTTAAGTGCCTTAAGTGGGTGAGGATTGTTGAGGTCTGGTTGAAAGTATGTGTTTGGTGGTGGGAACGTGTGGTGAGTGAGAAGAAGGTCTATAGGCCCACGTTCACTGTGCTGGTCAATATAGCAAGTTCTTAAGTGCTGCTGCCCTTGACAGCATTACCTGAATAAACTGGGTAACACATCCTGCTTTCCAGTTACTGCATTTGCTATTGTAATATACTAAACTTGCATAATTGTTAGTAAGTCAGCAGAACTGTACAGAACAATGATGCCCTCTGCTAAGGGCGTAAACATTTTTTTTTTTCAGTTGAACAACAAAACAATTGTTTTTATTAAGTTTGATGTTTTCCAACACTTGCTTCTACCTGCAGTATATTTAATTGTATATAAAACAGCACTGTTAGGGCTACAGAATCAATAGGAAATACAGATTCAGAATTGGAACAATAATTCCCCTGGGTATATATGCTTGTGGTAATTTCCATATACATGATGAAGATCTCATAGGACCTCCGTTTGTGTCGATGCGAAGAACAGACTTGCCCCGAAAATGGATTCGGATCTGCTGGGCTGCTGTTCTGTTTGTCGCAGAAATTGGAAAGTATGTAAGGAAACAGGCAGGGGACTAAAGCTGGAAGAAAAGACAGCGTCGTGCTGTTCTGGGACCGACTATAGTTTCTGTGGTTCTGGGAAAAACAGGACAATGCAACATTTTTCCCATGGTAACTGATTACATTAGTAACCAGTCTTATTTACTGGGGATTACCTGTTCAAGCCCAGTTCTCACTGTGTATTGTCCTGTGGGGAGAGAGGAAAAAGAGATATTAAAGTAAATAAGGACTCTGATACTGCATGGAGGGACTGTGTTTATGGTTGTGGAGGCAACCTTAACTTCCTAATGATCTCTTTTATTTATTTTTTTTTTTTAATTTGTCATCTAAATGTTCTCATAGTACTGTTTTTAATGTTTAGCTTTCTTCCTCCCTCTCGTTCCTGGACTTAAAAACAAAACAAGAAAAAAACCCATGCAACTCATCCTATCACACAGTAATTAAATTAGTTCTGTACAGACAATAGCCAATTAAGCTATTGCAGGAGGTAGAGGATGATAAGCGTTTACTTTGTTATGGTGCTGTATAAGTGGTTCTGTGTCCAGGCTGCCTTTTTCAACCTCTTCTTATATGCCCTTGCCAAGTAAGTACCAGTTCACTTTTGGTATCATCTCATCGAGGTTGCTTCTCACTAGCCTCGTCCAAATCTGCCTGCCTAGTACTTTCCCTGTTTGCTCATGTTATTTCCTAATGTCTTGTTCTTAGCTCCTGCTCTTTTCACTTTTGGTCCTGATCTTTATAGCAATATAACTCCAACAAATGATTTGATTTTTTTGTTTTGTTTTGTTTTGTTTTTTTCCTCTTCTGCTTCTCCCCATTTGGACTCTTTTCTCTTTTGTATATTGGTGGTACTGCTATTTCATGCTGCTTGGGTTTCCGTGGGAGAAGGGCTTTTTTAAAAGTAAAAGAAGTCGGAGATGGAGGACTCCTTTAGTGTATAGAAGAGACTGCCGGAGTCTTGGAGTAGCCGTTTATAGGGGAGGTGCAGCCTTAATTATGTAGAATTGAACCGAAGACACTCTGCTGTGCTGCTTTGTGGAGATGTCACATAACTTTGTCCAGCACTGGGTGATTAATTTTGAACAATTTAGCAAACAGATAATTTTGAGAATTTAGCCCCCTAATACTAAGTTCTTCAGTGCTCAGCAGGTTCTTCAGACTTTCAACTCTGCAAAAGCTTAACATAAGACCAAGTTTCTGTGCATTGTCACAGAAGTTTTAAAGGTTGCATGGCTGATGCAGAGGTTAACCTTGACCAAGTTCCAGGTATAATTTACCTGCTGTAAAGAATGGAGGAGCGATTGCTTAAAAAAAAGTGAACGTACCTGAGCTGATGAGAAGACTAGATGCGTCTGCATCTAAACTCTCACAAGTGTAATTTAAGTTAGCATAGGCTGCATTGCATGTCTGATCCTTGCCACAGAAAATGCCACTCTTTTAAAAACTGCCCAAGTGGAGCCTGTTTCTATAAATCTCTCAGTCTTGGATTTGTGATGGTGCATGTTAAGGAGCCTTGATAGGATGGTACTGGTTGCATAACCTGCCAAACTTGCCTGCTGCCTCTTAAGAAAATACAAAATGACTAAGTGAAAAGTAGCCTGACCAGAAATGAGATTGGAGAAATACTAACCTCAGGAGCTTGAGTCAGTCAAGTCGGATCATAACCTAAGTTTCAAACTGGCTTCCTCTGTGTACAGCTTGAGTTCTGGCATTTATTATGCATATGAGCCTGTTCAATAGGACCATTGGACAAATGATTTTTTTTTTTTTTTATTAAATATAAATCTCCCGTACTAAAGTCTTTTCTCATCAAGGAAGAACATCACATTTCATCTTTATCTTATGTAATATGAAAGGAAAGATGCATCCGAGATTCAAAAGCCAGAACTATGAACTGTCTGTCCAGATCTGAAAGTGTGAATTTGAGTTTTGCTGTAGGAATGACCTTCTGTACTGGTGCTTAGTTAATTGGGCATGCTTTTTACATTGTTTTACTTAAATAACCTGAAAGAAACATAATGTTTTTACTTACAGCACTTGAAGAATCGGAAAGTGACATTTATGTGCGATTCATGAGGTCACACAAGTGTTATGACATTGTTCCGACAAGCTCTAAGCTTGTTGTTTTCGACACTACGTTACAAGTGAGTATTCTCCTTTCAATCGGTCTCTTTTTTTTTTCTTGCAGTTCACTTGTTTTTCTTGTAATGTGTATGTTTCCTGAGTGTTAAGTGAAATTTGATCTCTTGAAGTTCTCCTGTGATATTGTGCTTTGACTGAAAAACTCCTACTGCTTTAACTGTATCTTTCATGGTCTACTAGAAAGGTACATGGGAGGAGATTTCCTTGCTTAACAGAAAAAGAAGATATAAATTATATTGTAGTTGGAATCACTAGCTTAAACTTTCAGATGAGCACAGAGTTATATTGGCTTCTTCGTGGCTGTCAAATCTTACTCACCTCCGTTTATGTAAAGATCCCTGATGTAATAGCTATGGAGTATCCAGACACTTTCAGCCTGCTCTTGTTATATTGTTAAGACGACTTAGGACTAGAATGGATGGCTTAATTCTGCACGTTATTAAATTCTCCTGGAAATCTTTGTTTTCAGTTTCTCATTTTGCTTTTCATCATCATCTGCTACACTCTTGGCTTTGCATGTCAGAGGAAAGCACTAGCTGCCCACTATAGAAGCAGAATAGAGAGTTGTGGTTTTCTTTGTTTCCTAGATTTTGAAATTGATGGGAGGTTTCTTTTGTTCAGAGATGCTCCAGTATTGGCTTGACTATGCCCAGTGAAGTAGTATTGGCCTGGATTGTACTGCTCAATTACATTCCAGACTCTCACAGTCAGAGACAACCCTGTAACAGATATGTAGTTCCAAGGTGTTCACAGAACCATCCTATGTATCAGATAATCCTACATTGTAAAGGATTATTTGTACAACGGTCTCAAAGATGCAAAACCTACATTATGCAACAAGGAGAAGTATTGTGGCAGCACTGCATGTGTTCTAGTTAATTTATACTGTTACTCATCCTGGGGATGCACTCATCCTTCCTGAGTTGATCATTACCTGAAGGGGCTGGAACTTCTGATGTAAGCAAGAAAGGTAGTTAACTAGTGGAGCAATATGTCTATTTATGTGGATGCAATGGTCAGATACGTGGAACGTAGGGACTGTGACTTGGACAGACTGAGGTCCGTTTCACTGGAGAGTGTTTAGGCCAGGGCACGCCTTTAAGGTTCAGTTCTGCGGCATGATTAAAAACAGCAGAGCTTGAGCTAAGCTCAATACAAAATAAGCAGCTTGCTTGGATAATCAGAGTCCAGTGCTGAAGCTGCATCTCACCAAGTAAAGGGGTTTGCTTCGCCTCCTGACTCCATTTAGACTCTGAGCCTAGTGAAGCTCCAGTAAGTTGCTTCTGATACCTCAGCTGTGTCTGCAAAGGGAAGCAGCTATTGGTACTAGAATTATATTAAAATGTATGCAGGGCTCTGGATAAGATTCTGCCCATGTGCCAAAAGACCTCCTGCTGCTAACTGATCTGATAGCCAGAAGGGCAGCACTGGACATAGTACTTAATATGACATGAGACACTGGTGACTGTTTCTTCCTTTATCCAGAAAGTCAAACTTTTACTGGAAACTTTTTGTTCTTAAATATCTTGGAATCGTTGTAACAGTCACTTTTTTTTTTTTTCCTCCTTCTTCCCAAGGGTTCTTTATTGGGCATTGTGGAAAATACATCTGATCTGTGGTTAAAGATGGAAGAGAGAGTCATGGAGGAAGAGCTTTTGAGCACGCATGCATCAATCCTACAGAGTTTAAATGTTCAGTGTCAATTTTCCATGCCTCTTCCACCTCTTGACTGTTTTGATAGACTTTCAGCTGCATCTGTTGCACTGAACCAGTTGTATGACTCAGTGATTATCCAAGCATTCTAAGCTACCAGTGAAGAACATCTGTTACATTTAGACATAATGAATGCTTCACTCCATTCTTCTGCCACATTCCTTTTCAAAGACCCCCCCCCCTTCTTTCTCTTTTAGGAGCTTTATTCTGTGGGAGATTAATCCTGTTGACTTGCTTTCACCATCTCAGAGGGAAAGGGTTCTACAGCTTTCCCTTTCTTCTGCCCAAAAGAGAGAATGACTGTTAATCCTGGACTAAAGAATCCAGATCCTTTGACCTGAAAAGTCAAATTTGGGGTGGTGATGTTAATTGACAGTCTTTCAGCTCTTTACAAAGACTTTAGCTTCCTTTTTTTTTGTTTGTTTTTTTGTTTTGTTTTGTTTTTTCTAATTCCAGAGGATATTTATTCTTGCACTATGAGATAATCTTTTGGGAATTGGTATCTGCAGCTTGCTGTTGGCATGACCCACAATCAATTGAATTCTGAGCTATCAGCGGTCACCTGAGTCAAAGGCTTGATCATGGTCACTATTGCAGTTGGAAAGACAAATCTTCCTCTTTGCTTCATGAACGAATTAATCTTGTGGCCGTCGGGGCAGATCACCCACTCCTTTTGGATTCCCCAGGTCTGTTGATGAATTGCGTAACATCATGCCAAATACCAGCTGCCAGATACCAGCTTTCTTTACTGGAGCTGTGTTGAGATAACACTATTTGTACTGGGAAGCTAGAGTTTCATCTCCGTTTGGTGAGCCGACGTAGGATAACGCTTGAAAAGAGGCAGAGTGTGAGTGAATGAAATTTGTTAGTCACAGTTGGTCATCACCATAAAGGAAAAATGGTTACTCACTGGTAATAGAACTTTCACCAGTACCCCACCAAAATCCATGTCTTATTTGGGATCCCTAATGATGGTCATGGATTACAAATGGTGAAGAACAAAGGGGATGCTTTGGCCTGTATCATAGGAGCATCATCTCAGCTCACTTCTTCAGGTATTTCTGAATGGTGGTAGTGGTGGAGGGGCGATCTGTAGTTATTCATTCTTACTCTGGTAAATGGCATATGTGAACCATATCTTGAACTTGGATTACTGGTAAGCAGCTTTTCTTCCAAACTGCATGCTTTTGTGCTTTATACCATTAAATTTCATCCCAGTTTCATCATTTGCTCATTTATGAAGTCATAGCTTTCTTGTAAAATAACAGTCCTGGTCCAGCATTGGAACTGTCTTCCAGCTTTGCTACAGGTTTCACGAAATGAGTAAACTACGTATTATTTATGAGAACGTTAAGCAGATTGGTCTGAACACTGATCCTTGGGTACACTGCCAGCAGGTCTTCTAAATACTTCTCTGTCAGTATTTTCCTGTGCAGTTCTTTACCTATCACCTTGCATTAATGTTCCAGCTACGATACCTTCAACACATATTAAATTTCTTTAGTCTTATTGTAAAGCTGGTGCGTTGGCATGTGCGCGCACACACACTTACACACACACGCACGCACATATCTGAAGCTTAAAAAATGAAGAGTTGTTTTGGGGCCTTTTTTGAAAACAAAGGGATAGAGGAGAAAGTGCATCATAAGAGTAGTCAAACAAAAACTTCTAAGTGTTTGTGTTACATTTCTTAATATATAAACAACTTATTCTTCAGTACCTTGGGACCTCATATTGGTTCTTCTCTGGATAATGTAGTACACAGTCTTATGAAGCATTCACTCTCCATGAATCGCTTTTAAGTGAGTGGGTTTTGCAGATGCTTGGTGTCATTCCTGGATCTGTTTCCTCCCTACCCAAGTCAGTGTTTCTCCTAATTTTTAAAAAAAAAAAAGTACCTTGACACAGTTCTTCAGAGATGTTATTTCGAACTGAAATCAGATTTTAATAGTTCTAGATTCAGAATGTGATAAGGGCTCAGTTTTTGCCTCCCTTAGTGTAAGCTAGTCGCAGCTGATGGAAGAAGAGAAAAATCAGAGACGCATTGTGTTTTTAATGCAGTCCTTTGAAAGACTCTGCCTTTGGATTGTGTTTGACTACAGTATCCTGCCTCCCTCTACTGGTCAGAAATGATGGCACGCATCAAGCCTGTTTCTATCTTGGAAAATTATTTGTGAGATAATATGGAAGGTCTTCTAAAACCATTGTTAACTGTAAGAAAGCTGAAGATGTTCTTTCATATAACGTGCTTTGAGTCGTGCCACTAATGCAATATAAATTCTTAAAAGCAAATATTTGATCCCAATATCTTGGAAGGATTTAGTGTAAAGATTTGTAAGGAATCTTGTTTTAACCCTGAACACGAGAGCGGATGGTAAGGTGGCATCGTGCTGCAAAACAGAGAGGAGGGCTTAAGCAGCAGCAGCGGTAGCTAATAAAGAGCAGGGATGGGGCAACGTTTTTTTTTGTCAGTCGGATGGTCTCGGGTCCTCTCGATTCCAACAGCTACCAAACACCTGACTTCCTAGTGCTAATATGCCGGTCTGGTCTCTCACATTGAGAATATACCTATGCAACTGGCACCTATGTTACGCTATTGTGAAAGATGTGGTATATCTCATCCTTTTCGGTTACACATCGGATCCTATGCGAAGGGACAGGGGTGCTGTGCTCAGCTGGAGAACGTGTCACTCGGTGTGGACTTGGACAACATCGGTTCTAAATAAACTAGACCTTGGCTTAGTACATTTCATTTACCTGTATGAGGCCAAGTGGCACAGCTTGGTTTGCCTTCATACAGCTTAGTTCTTGTTTCCTGCAAAACAGTATTTGTGTCTACCCTGCCTGCCTAGAATGGTCCCTCGCCTGTGTGGAGCCCTGAGCAAGGGTCAGGTGTTGTCTGGGAGAGTAGTAGTTGATTCAGTGCTAATGGTTTAGCAGTCTCACAGTCAGTGGACTTTTCTTTCATCCTTTTTAGCTTATCATACAGAGGTAGCCTGTAAGTAATAGGCCCTGATAAATATTGAACTCCTGTGTAGTGCTGTGGTGCTCTCCTCTGCCATGAACGTTCCTCGTATGTGACAAGTTCCAGCGTTTTGCTTTTCCCAGAGAAGATGCTATCTTTGGTTAACACACGTTAAGGAAACTTCAGAAGTGTGATCTGAGCGTGAAGGATTGGAGTCAGGAGACAATCAGATGTTATGAGCCATCCTGTGAAGTTTGGCAGTTTGGTTCTATGGATGGTGGGGAAATTAAGCAAGTTGCAACAGCGTACTGCAGCTTACAGCAA